CCATAGTTATATATTGTCACTTGTTTTTATATTGACAGAAGTGGTGACTCCCTGTCCCATACCACAGTAACATTTTAGTAGCAATTAAGAAGGGTTGTCCATAGACTTTAGATTAGATATAGGCTAAAAAAAAAATCTGCACTACCACTACTCCTCAGAGTGTTGAAATAGTCTCCTTTGCTCTGAGCTCATCAAAAGTGTTTAAATAAAGCAACTAGGACCTTAGCTTTGTTAATCTGATTTGGTTGCTAACACTCTTCCTCCTCCCTGGAGAAGATATGCATCGCCTCTTCATTTTGGAGACCCCGCAATGAAATTTTTATTCTGCTCACTTGTTCCTGAAAAAAAAAGTTACTTTTCACTTTTCCTTCCTATTTTTCATAAGGCAGATTCCTTTCACACTCTGCTTCTGGTATTTTGAGCCAGAGATAAGATAGGCAAGGTAAGTCAATACCATGCTTCATTTCATGAATATATACAGGCAGTCCCCGGGTTACATACAAGATAGGGACTGTAGGTTTGTTCTTAAGTTGAATTTGTATGAAAGGGAAAACTCTAGCCAAACATATCTCCAGAGCTCAGTTTTATTCTCCCACACCTCACTTCCCTCAGTCCTTTATTCTCAAGCTGAGGTGTCTGCTGAGAAAAGCCGCTCCACGTCTCCCTGGCCTGCTGGGGGGAAGCAGCTAGTGCGGGGTTGCCTCACCCCGTTTGTAAGCAGGGAGCTGATGTAAGTCGGATCCATGTAACCCGGGGACTGCCTGTAATGGATTCCAGCATTTTAATTCCTTTCGGCTCCTTTTCACCATGAGACTCATTTCCCAATAGTTGCTTTGCATCACCTGTAATTCCCTCATCTATCAGAAAAGAAGATAATTAAAAATTGCAGATGTGAATTCTATGGAAAGAAAGATTTCTCTGATTTTTTTTTTTAAGCCAGCAACATTGTTTTCACACAAATCAATTGCTCTACTCTACAGCAATCCCATACATGGAGCTCCCATTGATCTCAGTGAGACCTCCATGTATAAAGCAACTGCAGGACTGAGTCCAAATGTAAATGAGAAATCTACCAACTCTTTAAAATCTCACTGATACCTGTGATTTCTGCATATGATCAGTCAGATACAGGAGACTTGAAAACACTTTCAAAATGCAAGAGCACTATTGTCAAGAGCCAAAATTGCGCTTTTGTGAAGGTTTCCTCAGTTTATCTCTTTAAAAAAATAGAAAAAGTGCTGTCTTGCTCTAACTCCCATGTAAATACACTATAACGATGCTCCGAGGTGTCTGAGATCCCCCTAGGCAAACAGCTTGAATTCAAAATTCATTCTTCTTAAAGCAAGTCATATTAAATTATGCCAAGTAGTAATGACAAATACTTTTAATTTGGGACTACACATTGTTAGTTCAGAGTCAAAAGAAATAGCAGCCAGATTGTTTCTCTCTACTGATGAGCATACCTCACCAGAAAAAAAAACCCCAAAATATGCAAATGATATCTCTACATGGCCTCATCCCTACATTCCTATCTAAGATATATATTCAATTAGGGTCATCCAGGTCCACAGTTCACTAAAGAAAGCTAAAGGACACAAACTAGAGGTGGCAGTGATTTTTCCAATTCCCAGAAACATTTAAAAATAAATTCCTAAAAGACAACCTGCATAAAATTTGATGCTCGAAGTCCTCCCAAAACCATGTTTAATGGAAGCAGTAGATATTCTCAGGAAACAAATAGAAAACCAAAAATAAATATATTCTTATACAGCATTTTCCACCCATAGATGACAAAACACTTTGACTTGCACTAAATCACGTAGCAGAATAAACACTGATGTGAAAAGTCCTCAGATTGCCTAATGGTGAGTGTTCTATTCACCAGAGCATATTTACTCTCAGATTGGCACACCTTTGGATGAATATATGCTCTGGATGAATATATGCAATAAATAAGCAGTAAAACTTGACAAGTTTTGTTTTATTACTTGTGCAGCAAATTGTACGCTTAGCTTAGAAGATGATTCTTGAAATTTTTTCTGAAATGCAGACTCTGTATACAGTATCGTCTACAAAAAAATATATATAGCACAAATTTCGCTACAGGCACAAGAGATTTTCTTCTAAAGTAATAAATTTCCAAGAAAAGTTCTGCTGTCATAATAAGTCAATTTCCAAAGTAGGTATAAGGCAGCATGCTATTTTCTGATACTCTGAACAACATCCATTGAATAACACACCACAGCATTATTTTCTTTAAATGGTTCAAGGGGAATAGTGAAAACCAATTGCAGTAACGGACGACATTAGGAACAACATGATGTGTAACTAACTCTACACTTTCTTTTCACGTTATATGCTGTGTATTGCTTTATAAAGATATTTTTCTATTACTTCTAAAAATATCATCCAAGAATAAATAAGTTGGTGAGACAAGCTGACATGAAGTTACAAAATTTAAACTGAAGACAGTCAGTCTGTTTATCACCCATTCCTATATACTGCTGTATGTTGCATTTAAGGCTAAAACCCTACAGACTTAATCACACAAGTATTTCTAGTAAAGTCATTGATACTACTTGCACAAGTTGAGCAGGATTTGACCCAAACTAGTTAGCCTGAACCCATCACACATAAATTAGAAAAAACAGCAGCCAGAGATTTGAACTTTTGTAATAACATGTATTTGTATCTTAGTATTTTAACATTCCAGCACCATAGATATACTGTATCTATTTGATAAGATACAGGCTACATAAATACCAGGATACAACTTATTCTCAATGTTCTTTTGGTAAATAATAAAACATAATTACAGAAATGGAGAGCATGCAGCTCCAGTGACATTGTGACTACTACTTAGAAATTCTAGATTCAAGTGAAAGATTAAAAAAAAGAGGGTGAAAAAGAGAGACTTTTGATGACAGTTTAGAAAACAAGAAAAATCAGGCAAATCATAATTTTACAAGAGAAAAACCCAACTCACAGTTACCTTTTCAGAAGATGATGTATTTACACACAATACAAGAATTCATACAACCTTTCCCGTCTCAGATCCATACCACTGGCCCATCCAATTTGGTATGCTGCCTCAAGGAACAGCCAATACCTGATTTTTCAGATGAACATGGGGAACAACAAACAAACCCCTACCACCACAATAGACCCAGCCAACTGTCCAATACTAAGTGAGGCCTTTCTTCTAGACTCTAGCATGTGATCAATTTAAGAACTGAACCCAAAAATCCTTTCAGCATTAGCATGTTCTACTGCAGCTGAATGATCATAAAGTCATCCGTATACTCTTCAGAATACCGAATCTCCTTTCCAGTAACTGCTTTCCAGGCTAGCTGTAGCAATCTCTGTTCATCTGTAAATTGGGACATATCTCTTACCACCTACATTGACCTTAGGTGGAGCTTTTCAATTCCAACTACATTTTAACAGGAGCTGACCAAGTCCGGACACAGCTCCTAACATGAGGCTGTATATTGTGAGATATAGCATTTCATTTTCAACTCCTTTTCAAATGCACGAAGACAGCCTGTTTTGAACTGTTTCTGCTGCATCCTTGCCAAACATCTTCATTGAACCATCTTTGACATCTGTGAAGTCTTTATTCCCCACAGCACAGCTTTATTCCACCACAAGCTCAGAGTCCATATATGAGAAAATTAGACTCTCTTAACACTGTGCATTAGCTTACACTTACAACAGCTGAGTTTCACTTAATATCTCCATGTCCAATATCCCTGTGGTGGTTACATTCATAGGAATATTCTCTGTAATTTTTACTTTTACTAACCAACCCAATGTAGGCTCTTCAGCAAACTTCAAAACTAGCTGCCAGTATTTCCCCCCCCCCCATGAAAGCTTTTCAGAGGCACTGAGCACCCACAACTCTAATGCAGTTCACATTTATTTGTAAGTGCTCAGTATTTCTGAAAATCAGAACCCCAAACTTTAAGTAAGACATTTACTACCACTGGTCCCAATACATTCTCTGGGGGCACTCACCACTGACCTCTCTCTTAACTGTGAAGTAAATATCCACTACAACCCTTACATTAAAAAAGGTTCAGTGAAAGAAAACAACACAATGACCTTTTCACTTAACAATATGGAGTATTTATTTCTCTTATATTTTCAGTAAAGACACATCAAAGGTTTAAAGCAATCCAAGTAACATATACCTGCAACTTGCCTTCCTTTACTATTTTCACTTTTTCAAGGAACACAGTTATAGCCACAGTTTTCACAGAACGCGGTTTCACTACATTGGAACATACTTTTCCAAGAACTGCACTTTTGTAATCCTTCCAAATTGAGTTAATTCTATGCACAGACTAAATTACACCTGGAATGGTTGATAAATAATCATACCACTCTCTAGTTCGCAAAAAAAAGTCTAATAAATACATAAAAAAACAACAGAAAGAATTATTCTCTAGCATCTTTACATGGCATGTCATAAAATATCAACCAGACACTGACACCTTCATCAATATGGATGATCCCTATGATTCCCAGACATAATGAAAAAACAGGGAGGATAAAAGTGGACTCTATTGTCTAACCAATTTTACTAAGAGAATAAATAAAAAAACCAAACCAAGATCTTGACACATCCCATCACAACAGCACCAGAGAAACCTAAACCAAGCATTTGGATCCTGCTACATTCCGCCAATTTTTGGCCCCACTACTTTAACTCCCTCTATTTAGGGTAGCAAAAAAGTTTATCTGCACCTATTGTACCAACAAATCCCAAACACAAATCAAGGTTACTCAAGCAAATGCCCAGATTTGGTACCTAGATCCAAACAGAGTCAACCAATATTTGCATCTAATTCTTCAACTTCACTGCCTAAATAAATATGGGAAATACTTGAACTCCTGCCTCTTACAAGTTTAGGACTCCTGACTGTGATGCATCAGTAATTGATCTGAGCTCAAGTGTAAGGGCCAGCGAGAAGGGCACGGATACAGGGCTCCCTTACCTTGTTGGAGTAAGGGGGCTTGCTCAGGTTGATCCCATCCCGGATGAGTTTATCCCTAATCATGATTTTCAGTTTCAGCTTGGGGTAAACCACCAGCTCCCTGCTGCGGCGCCCAAGTTTCTGGCTCCTGGAGGTCCCCTGATTCCCCGGACGACGGTGAGGGCTAGGATCCCGCCAGGACTTAGCCTCATACTGCTCCACCAAGTGGCTGGTGTAAATCTCTGGGGAGGGAGAGGAAGAGCCCTGCTGTTGCTGAGGCTCCAAGGTGAAATAGAGACCAACAGCGGTCTCGTCCTCCTCTTTCAACCTCACCACTGCTTCCAGGATTCGGCGCCTGTGATGGGGCACCGACACCCCAATGGCATCCAGGTCCGGGTCCCCTATCTGCTTGCAAACCTCCAGGTCATCGTAGCCATTATCGACGAAGGACTCCGCGTATTGTGAAAGCTGCAGGGTCTTCAGCCACTCATAGACTATGTTGGTGCACATGTTCGCTGCAAAATGATAATTCCAACTTTTTACATCCAAGCCAGGCGCCTCTCTGCTCCTCTTGCAAAACAAGCAACCGGCAGGCCAAAATCTGCCATACAATTAAAAGAGGAACCTGCACAAGTCAAGGTCTGGAAACCAGCATCCCCCAGGAATAATAATAATAAATCTCCAAAGAAACAGTAACAACAGCAGCCGACGCTGCTTCTTGCCTCCTACAACCAAGCAGAGGAGCCAGTGCCACCGAAGAAGGGAGACTTGGGCTGGAGAAAGGGGGGACACGCTTAAGGGCGCACCCCGTAAGATCCTGGGTCACAACAGACATCCATTCTCTTTTTGGAAGTAATTCGCTGTCACGGTGTTTTCTCCGCCTCCTCCTGATTTTATTTTTTCCACTTCATTCCTCTCTTCCTTCCCCCCTCCCCCCTGTTGCACGGCGCACCTCCGATTGTTATGCGCTGCTTCTTTCAAAAAACGACCCTTGTTGACTTGAGGAAGAAGAGTACGAGCCTGCCCGCTCGCCCAGCATGTGTCTGCTAGCTCGCTCTACAGGGCGTGCACGCCGCTGCTTTCCCTTTTCTTTTCTATTTTCCCTTTTCTTTCCCAAAAGGCGCCGCTCGGATTGGAGCACAAGCCCGCTCACTTTCCCGAGTTACTTTCCCCACTTCTCTTTCATCTCCGCGGGGATAGCCAAGGCGCGTCGCTAATGCAAACCCCAGAAATTCAACAGTTTTCCACCCTCCCTCTCCTCCCTTCCGCCTTTAAACCCACCTTCCCCGCGCAGTCCTGGGGGAGGGGGGGAATCTCTTCAGCATCCAGCCCCCACCTTCACTCCGCTCCCAACTTTCTCGTGCATGGCACTGAGACACCGGGTGGCCGGGGGCGCCTCTGTTGGAGGGGCGGAGGCGAAGCTGCCGAGCGCCAAAAAGGCAGCAGTCGGAGAGGGAGCCGCACGCGGTGCTGCTGAGGGTTTGTTTGGGTGAGCAAGGCGGCCCGCCTACCTTGTGTATTCATGAGCGGCGGCAGCAGCTACGGTTTGTCTTCTTGGGGACTGAGCTGAGGGGCAGCAGGTTACTCGCCTGGCCCCGCTGTCTTCTTGTTTCTAGGGTGTGCGTGACCGCCGCTCCCGGGATACCGCACCGCGGACTCGTCTCCTTCCCCCGCCCAGAAAGCAAGGGGGGCAGATTTACTCCTTATCCCGGGCACACGTGTGTGTGTGTGTGTGTGGGGGGGTGTTCTCCCCCTCCTAACACTTGCTGTTTCCTCCCCTCGTCTGTGCGCGCACTGCCCACACCTGCCTCCTGCGCTCTCTCGCAGCCCCCGGCTCCAAACCACCGGACAACGGGCGGGCCCCTAAGCAAGGCCGCCCGAGGCAATCCCCTACTCAGCAGCGCTGCTGTACTTTTCCAGCGACAGGGGCCCGGGACTGCCGGAACAGAGGTGGGGCTGCAGAGGGACTTCGGGGCAGGTCATCCACCCCTTGCAACAGCCCCGGCTGAGAGCCTGCCGCGCTCTGCGTGGGATGTGAACGCGGCTGCTGGCGGGGAAGGGAGCAGAGTGCTCGGGATAACGGGCTGCAGCTGGGGAAATCTCTCCCCTGGGCTGGCTTGTTCGCAGCGTTTGGGCGTCTGCTTCAGCCCCGGAGCAGCAACAAACTTGGCCCCAGGCTTGGAAGAAGGAACAGGTTGAGATCTGTGCGCGCCAGAGAAAGTGCAGGGTTCGTGCCCCCAGCTGGTCTTGCTGCTGCTTCCCTTCCCTGTTCCTTCCTTCTCCCCCACGGCCCTTCGCAAAGCAGCGGCTACCGACCCCCCCGCAGCTGCAGCGGGAATTAGAAGCTAACGTGAAGCCGGGAGATGTTCAGCGCTTGCTAGCGGGTTTCATCCGCTTTGCCTAGGGCGCAGCTTCATGCTCACGGGGAGTTGTGGGGCCTAAACTTTCCTCTAGGAATTTGGGGGTAGAGGAGATGAGAATCCCATGCTGCAGCCGCCTGTCGCGCTCTGCGCCGCCATTGGGTGTCTCTGTGGCCGTGACTATGAGCGCTAGGGAAGCCGCCCGCTGCTTCGGTCTTTCTCCCAGTGTCTTCCCCAGCGCTTCGCCAAGCTCTCTCTAACTCTGGGCCGGCAGCGCCCTCTCACGCTCCGTGGTGTAAATGCAGCCCAGAGCTGTTCCCAAACAATTCTGGCTGCCTCCCTTCCTTCACAGTACAAGCGCACTGCACTCTATGCTGCCATCCCCCTTCAGACTGTCACTTTCTCAGCCCAGTGCTGGGGGTATCAGTAAAACACCCTTAAATCAAGCCTGAAGTGGCGAGGAGGGTCTGGATTCGCAGCTTTCTAATTTGCCTAGGACTCAGCCAGGCACCGGGGATAAGCACGATGTGCTGAATCTAGTTTGCACTTGGCTGCCTTTGCAGTGAAAGGACATGCAGCTGTGGATTGGTAGTTGGGACTTTCCCTCATGGCACAAATTTACTGTGTGTGAAAGTGTCCTGTAGAACTCACAAGTGGGAGGACCTCCCCATGAATGGAGCAATAGATGGTTTCTATTAGGTGTCTAATATTATTTAGGTAACTCTGAATGGTGTCCAAATAGTTGCTTGGAGTTGGTTTGTTTTGTTTTATTTTATTTTGAGCTTTTGCGAGCAGTAGTTTGGTTTAGGGATGTCAAGGACTAGTTGATTAGTTGACTAGTTGTCCCCCCCCCCCTTGCTGCCTCTCTCAATGGCAACAAGGGGGGGGGAAGGGGAGTACTTCAAAGCAGCAGTGCCTCACAGAGCTGGGAGTCCTGGGCTCCATGTGGCACTGCTGATTTGAAATGGTGTGGTGACATTTCAAGGAGGCAGCGCCACACAGCTGAAATGGCAGCATTTCAAAGGGGCATGGAGCCCAGGATTAGCTGTGCGGAGCTGCCCATTTGAAACGACACTGCAGAGTCCCCAACTGACCCCAGGCTCCCTGCGGCACTGCTGCTTTGAAACATCATGGCAACATTTCAGAGGCAGCACTGCCCTACTGACTAATGAAATGCATCGACTATTCGATTAGTGAATTACATAATACTTACCATCCTTAGTTTGGTTATGTAAGCCTAGACATAGTAGCTGTCCCTTTAAGAAAGGGACGGGCTTGTCTGTCACTCTGAGCCCTGTTTAAACCAGGATAGGAGGCGGAGGTGTGTGGGTTGTAGCTCAGAAGGCTCAACCTATTTTAAGGTTTGTTTGTTAGTTTTAAAATCAGAACTGAGTTTAACGAAGCTTGTTCTTCAAAAGAGCAATATCTCATTCTGGAAAGTGTGGCACAAGTTTTCTGCAATGCCTTTATTCCAGGGTGCGTGCTGCTGGCAGAACATGTACATACATGAGCACACGGTGTCCAGTGCAAGGTATCTATGGGTAGACCAGTTTTTATTGAGAAGTATTACATGTTAGAAAAATTTTACTCTATACAGGCAAATACAAACCTATCATGGTTCAGGTGCCACAAAGTGGCAGATCATAGATTTACTTACAGCAAAAGAAGTCTGGAGAAAGAAGCCAACATTCATTCCCTCCCACAGCATTTCTGATTTCCTTCTCTGTTCTTTCTCCCAGAATGTAATGTTTTCCTTGCCCTTCAGAGGTAGCAGAAAGGGAAGCACGCAGAAGATTTTAAACCATTTTTGTAGGCCTGAGAAAGCAGTTGCAGCAGCATGACCTTCTCTTCTCAGACTTTGGGGGGTAGAGAGGCCTGAAAGTCAGAGTAGTTGTAAAACCAGCAGGAAGGTGCTGCTTCTCAGACAGCTGTAGCACTCCAGTCCTGTGACAGGAGGGAGGAGAACACCAGCTCTTCCAGAAGGAAATGGACAAGGCTGTACAGTATGTTCAGTAATTGTTTGTTTGCCCTTTCTCATGAGTGTTATTTTGTTTTTGTTATATGGCAGTGGGGAAACAAGTGTAGGAAGTCAGATGAAAAAATAACAGGCTGCTCAATTTTCCACTCCCAGCAGGTATGCCCATGCCATATCAGGAGAGAAGGAACTTTCTGCCTACTGTTCCCCTAGGCTGCATCTAGACTGGCAAGTTTTTGTGCAAAAGCAAGTGCTTTTGCACAAAAACTTGCCAGCTGTCTACACTGGCCGCTTGATTTTGCGCAAAAGCACTGACGTTCTACTGTCCGAAATCAGTGCTTCTTGCGCAAATGCTTTGACGTTCCCGTCCGGAAATGTTTTTGCGCAAGAGGGCCAGTATAGACAGCTAAAAACTGTTTGCGCAAAAAAGCCCCGATGGCGAAAATGGCGACTGGGGCTCTCTTGCACAAAAAAGTGCTTTTGCGGAAAAGCATCCGTGCCAATCTAGATGCTCTTTTCCGCAAATGCTTTTAATGGAAGAACTTTTCCGTTAAAAGCATTTGCGGAAAATCATGCCAGTCTAGATGTAGCCCTAGAAAGAGAGAGTGAAGTAGATATTCCGTAGGTGTGCAGTGCCCCCAATTCACTGTGAATACGCACTGAACATTCTAGAGTGTGAAGGGGAAAGGAAAAGAAAACATCTGCTTGCTTCCTTCCTTCAAAACAAAGACAATTACAGGCAGTGAGAATCTTTTCAAGGATAGGCAGTAGAAAAATGCATGGGACTACAGAAGGCAGGCCCAGGGGCTTCCAGGCATTTCAAATTCTATCTGACTCGCCAATCTTTGGAAACCATCATGGTTAAGATAGTCACAATAACAATCCATGTTCATTAGGGTACTCATAAAAAACTTTTGAGTTCAAAGGACTCTAGAAGCCCCCAAAGAAGGTGGCATTTTGGAAAATCTTTTTGGAGGAAAAGATGGTAAATGTTTCCCCCTGTGAAACACAGTATATGCTTTACAGATGGATGGAATTTTCAAACTCAGCTAGGCTTAACAGTGCCCATTGAAATCACTTATAAAATTCTCACCACTGTCATTGGGCGCAGAGTTAGACCCCATTTCAAAACCCCAGCTACTAATTCCTTGTACGCATTAAAGTCCAAACCTTAAATTTACTTTGAGTTATTTGAGGTTATGTAGGTATTTAGCTCATACAATAGAAATGGCACCTATGCAGCCTGGTTGTATTCTATAAAACCTTACATTCCAATGATATCTCCTTTCGGAAACTCAGCAGATTCTGATGTACCCTTAGGTCTTGATTCTGCTACCACTTGAGCACATGCTTAACTTCATTACTTTGGAACTAATCATAGTAGTAACATTAAGCAAATACAGGCAGTCCCTGGGTTACGTACAAGATAGGGACTGTAGGTTTGTTCTTAAGTTGAATTTGTATATAAGTTGGAACTGGTGTCCAGATTCAGCCGCTGTTGAAACTGACCAGTGGCTGACTACAGGAAGCCCGAAGCAGAACTGCTCTGCCTCGGGCTTCCTGGAATCAGCCGCTGGTCAGTTTCAACAGCGGCTGAATCTGGACGCCTGGGAAAGAGCAGCTGGGGGGCCGC